GCAGCGCCAATCGGTCCTTCTTCTTCTCCTTCTAACATTTTGTGTGCATGTTCACGCCGATCTCCTTCTTCGAGGAACACCAACCACGCTCACGCGGAATCGTCGAACGCGGAAGGCACAGAGCAACGGACGCGCGGGTCCCCTGCGTCGAACGCTCTCTTGGTGGCGCGCTCGGCGCTCCCCTTGGCCGCCGGGTGGACGCAGGTCCGCGCCTGTCGCACGCGACGGAAGCCGCGGTAGGGGACGCCTTCCTCCACCCCGCCTCTTGCCGTCGTCTTCGTCTTCGTCGTCGTCGTCGTCGTCGTCGTCCGCCTCCTCGTCCTGCCTCGAGCTGGGCCGATCTGTGAGGGAGCCGTGGGCCAAAACAGAAGAGGTTGTGTTGTTCCCACGACGCCTGGACGTGAGGGGCCTCCTGCAAGCTCCCCAGGGATGAGCTTGAGGAAGGCAGCATGGGATGGTGCAGTGATTGTGCCACCCTGAGGGGCGCTGAATAAGGAACGAAGGGGCTCTTCTAGCCACGGCGAGTCTCGGCCAAGAACCCGTTTTCCCATACGGAGCTGAGCAACGGCCCAAACATCAGAGCCCATCCTGAGCCCGAAGTGGTCCTTACTTCAGCGTCTTGCGTGTGTATGGGTCGTGTCGGGCTTGGGATCCAAATAAGGTTGCCCTGGGCATCCGTAGGCCGTCTTGGGGTCATCGTGGGGTCGCCATGGGGCCATAACATAGAGCAACAACCAACACCCACCCTCCTTCGATTTGATATCACTTCCTTCGACGCGAACTGAAATTATGGGGACGGCTGTGCGGTGGGCCCACGTTGATTTTCAACGGGGAGCCCACGTGTTGATGTAATGCCTGACGCACCCACGTGCTGATGTGGTGTGTGCGTCTTCGTTGAGGGGACCCATGCTGATTTACCATGGGTAGGACCCTCGTGTTGATGTATTTGTTGTGGAGGGCCCATCGATGGATTAAACATGCGGAAGGATCACTGAATTATTATGATGTGTGGAGGCCCAGCAGACTGATTTGATGCGTTGAAGGCCTGGTCACGCGAGCCTCGCGTGTTTCTCTAGACTATTGTTGTTGTTTATTGTCTTCTTGTGATCCTCCCGTTTCCTCTTGCCCACACGGCTCCATCGGGATTATTGAGTTGCGCTGATGTCCAATATGTTTGTTTTTCTGTTGCTCGGAATTCCGAGGGTTCTTGCATGTCCCGCAAATCTCCACTACAGTTCCAACTGTTTCCCTCTGGGTGCTTCATTGGTTATGTATCCGCATAGATCAGACTTGCAAATACATGTGTATATCTATACCCATATTCATTGTGCTTTACATTATTTGAACACACAGGGATGCTTATGCTACCTTTGAGCTTGATGCTGAGGGTACCGCCCAGCACCCAAGGTTGGGGTGCTGAGGGAGGGCGCTGTTGTGTGGTACGCCCTGCACGCGAGCGGGAACACCGAGTCACGATGCAGGCCAACAAGGGGGCCACCTTGGGACTCTTTGGAATGTATTGGGAGACGACTCATTCCCAACACGGTGCCTGCACCAGGGGATCTTACACAATTGCTGCGCACCTGGATGGGGGTGCAGGGATTCGCCTGGTGCCCGGTGCTCAGCCGCCCGTGGCCGCCCCGTGCGCTGGGTGGGTGTGCCGAGGTCTCGCCTCCGCCCGTGGCCGCCCATGGGCGTCTCATGCGCTGGGTGCGTGTGCCGAGGTGTCGCCTGGCGCGCGCCCGTGGCCACCCGTGGGCGCCTCATGCGCTGGGTGGGCGTGTCGAGGTTTCGCCTGGCGCCCGCTCGTGGGCGCCTCATGCGCTGTGTGGGCTTGCCGAGGTGTCGCCTGGCGCGCGCCCGTGGCCGCCGTCTTGGACTTGCTTCACACAGCCTTACCAAGTGTCTGTCCACAGAGCTTATGCCACATAGCTTACACCCCGCATCTTGCAGCTCACACCGCACAGCTTGCGCCGCATGTATCTCACCGCATAGCGTACACCACATAGCTCACACCGACTAGCTTGCACCGCATAGCTTGCATCACATTGTTCACACATCGGTACTGGCACCACATACCCCGCACAGCGCAGATTACACAACATGCATTGCACCACCTGTGTTGCACCACATAGTTCAGATGCCTCGGGTGCAGAATCTGTAGCTCCCCTCTGACAAACCACACCACTGGAAATGCGTACGATTTGGCTGGGCTGCAGCAAGTCAGAATTGTTGAAGTGTCTGCCCGCTGAGGTATTATACCGTTTGGTCAGTGCGTTCATTCTGGGGTCGGATGGGCGTCGCCATGAGGTCATATTCGGGTCGCGGGGTCGCCTTGGGGACGTCTGGAGGTCACTTGTGGGGGTAATTGGGGCGGCGACCCCGGCCGCCGCCTTCCGATGTCCGATGTTGCTTGGGCGACGAGGTTGCTCTGCAACAGGGATCCAGGGGTGCTGAGTCTCGCAGGAAGCTTGTAGTCCTCTTCTTTTCCTTCTTCTCCTCCTCCTTCTTCTTCTTCTTTTCTTCTTCCTCCTCCTGGCCAGAGCGCGAGTGGCGGCTGGCGAGGCTAGGAGATGAAGAGGACGAGGAGGAACTTCCCCTTCCCCCCTGGTGGGGTGGGGGCGGGGTACCGAGCACTTCTGCGCCCTCTCGAGGGTAGCCGCGAAGCGTGTGTCGGGCGCCCCTCATCAGATCAGCAGAGCGGCGGCTTCTCGGGCCCTCTGCCCGGGGAGTCTTTGGCGGTTGGTGGGTTCCTGGCCCACCCCCCCCTCCCCCTCTCTCCACCGCCCCATCCTCCGCCCAGCACCTCCCTCTCGAAACTCTGCCCCTCCCCCCTAGCAGTGCGGCCGCGGCCGCAGAAGACCCAACCACAAAAATCGAAGCGCCCAGCGCAAGGCGGGGGGGGGAGGGGGCGAAACCAAGAGCACCCGGAACGCCGCAATCGGCCCAATGCCCGCGGGAAGCTGCCGCGCGGCGCGCGAGGCGAAGAAGCCCAAGGCACCCCTTGACGAACAGCACACGGTCTCTTGATGCGAGTCCTCACTGCATCCCCCCCTTCCCTCCCCATTCTTCCATCCCCCCCCCCCTCTCCTGGCCGTCTTCCGCCCGCGGCGCCAGACCCCACTTCCGACATCCAATTGCGGGGCACGCGCAGGGCGGGGACGAGGGAGGAGCATGGGCGAAGGCAGCAGGAGGAGGAGGGACGTCGAGGACGAGTGGGAGCGCGTTCGCACCGAGTGTGCCGTCCGCACGCCCCGCTAGGTCTGTCCCCGCACATGTGCCGGTGGGCGTTGCGCTGCGCAAGGCGCGTCACGCGCTGGGGCCCCCGCCCGCGCACACCTCTTGCGGCTGCCCGCACAAACGCCGCGTGCCTCAAAAATCGCCTGCCTCGAAGCCCCGCCACGAGCACGAGTGGCCGGCGCTGGCCAGAGTGCGGACAAGCAGGCGGCCCCGAGCACATAGCGGAAGCACCGCCCTGGCCAGGCCACGGAACGGTCAGCGCGCCTCCCGGCCGCATTCACGCATCCTTGGATGCTCGTTCTGGGGACCTTCCTGTGGAGAGACTCGCTCCACTCATGCGTCGATGCTGCGTCGAACGACCGTCGACCTGAGTCGAAGCTGCACCGAACTTGCAGAGAACTGGAGTCGAGCCGATCCGTCAGGTGGGCCCCTGGAAGGCCCCCCGAAACGAACATCTGAGCATTCGCACTGCCTCCGTGCTGCACGGGCGTGCTGGCAGCATCGTTGGTGAAAGAACCAGGCGACCGGCGGCACTAGGCGTAGGCGCAGACACTGCAGCCCAATGGAAGCACCGCCCCGGCAAGGCCACGGAGCGGTCGGTACGCCTCCCAGCCACAGGTCGCGCACTCGCTCTGTTAGAAAAGCAGCATGAACGCAGAAACACAAGCTGTCGGAGGTCCGCTCGGATTTCTGGGGTCGACGCCAGAAGCCCTGGCGGAGGGGGGTCAAACGCAAACCCAAAAGATCCGCGCGGACCCCCCAGAGTGTAGGCTGACGAAGATATGCTGCCTCTTCGATGTGCATCCCCGTATTTTGAGCAGGGACCTGCTGTCCCAGCATTCCTATAGGCCAACCACGAAAGGTTCTTTGAACTAGAGAATGTTCTAAAACCAAGAACAACTTTCTGAGACCATCAAGCCCATGTACAGAGCCAAGACGGCATCAGCCAGAAATGTTCTCACAACTTCTCGTGCAAACCACAAAAGGATTCCTAGAAGATTCCTTGGTGGGCCTATAAATAAGCCAGGACGCCTCGCCACTGGTGGAGTACTGGTCGCGTGCGTGCTAGCAAAATCGTCGGCAGGAGGAGTGGGGCAGGTCTCCTGCCTGGCCGTCCTCCAGCAAAATCGCTGGAATCCCAGGACCCCTGCAGCAAGAGATCCGATGTCTTGTTTTTCGCCATACGGGCCTCAGAAATCCGGCAGCGAGGGCTTCCCGAGGCAGAAAACGACGACGAAAACCCTCCATCTCGATGTTTGCTCATGCGCTGGAGGTCTGGGGAACCAGGATTCCAGCGGCGGCCGTCCAGCGGCGAACAAAAAAAAGGGTGGAGGGGTGGCTGACGTCGAAGCCCGCCTCCCCTCTGGCACCCTGCCCTGCTGAGCCTCTGAGCAACGTTGTCGCTGTCATTGTCGTTGTCGTTATCGTTGTACTTGTGATCGTTATCATCGTCGTTGTCGGCATCGTTATCGTTGATCCTTCGTACTCTTAGCGAGCTGAACTGCACGCGACCACTGCAACCTCAACAATTCAAAACCTGTGCAAGTGCCAACGCGTGCAGAGGCTCGGCCGGCTCGGTTGACATCGACACGACGGCTGAGCTCTTGCAGCCTGGCGCGTTCCGCGGGGCCTTCGGTGGGTGAAAGAGACAGCCTTCGACAACAAGTATTCTGAAACCACTTGAACAAGCAAGTGGACACAGCGAAAGTGGATAGTGTGTATTCTGGTATGGGGTGCACTTTCGCGCGCCCCTCCTGACGTCATACCTGGAAGAGAACGATGTCGCCGAGACTGATGTGCGGCTCCTCAGCATCGTCCGCACCCTCTGCCTCGTTGCCTTCGTCACGGCTCTGCTGCTGAAGTGCAACTATGACGGGGTGGTTGCCGTCGAACGTCACCTCTAGAAGAAGGAACAAGAGTATAGTAGCTTGAGCAGAAACTTTCGGAAGTCTGCGTGGATTTCTTGGATCCGGCGGTGACCCCCACTCCCTGTCGCGCGGAGCGCGCCAGGGGCCGTGCTGGAGGTGCCGCCAGGGGGGGTCCAGCGACGATCCAAGAAATCCGCGCCGACCTTCGAAAGTCAGATGTTCGTTCTAAGGACCTTCCTGGAACCACTCGCTCCGCTCACGCTTCGATGCTGCGCCGAGAGTCCGTCGACTTGAGTCGAACTTGACTCGAGCTAGAGTCGAACTACAATCAAACTGGTGTCGATCAGATCGATGTGGTGACCCCGAACGGTCCCCCCAAACGAACATCTAGCGACAGCCTGTGCTTGTGCACATTGGTTGTTACACCATCGAGCCTCCAAGCGCTGGCTGCGCGGATTCAGGCCCGCCTTTGGAGGGAACGAAAGAGATGACCATCTCCAAGACTGAACGCGGAAACGTCGGTGTCGATCTTGGTCAGCGTCCATCTTGGCCGTCGTCGATTCGTGGATCATCCTCGCGAATCGGCGACGACACACATGGACCATGACCAAGACCAGCGTCGACAAGATCCCGCGGCATCTTTGGCCTTAGTCACGGTGCGTCCTCCCTCGAGCCTTGCCGCACGCCTCGTGGAGCTTCCGCACGGCCGAGCCCTCCCGCTCGTGGAGCACGAGGAGCACCTGCGCCCCCGGGCTCGCCGCCTTCACCGCGCACAGCGCCGTGCAGAGGGGCTGCCACGAGGCCCCGAACGCGAGCTCCGAGCCGACGCAACACTGCGCCTCCTCGGGGAACGACAGGTTTTAGGCGCGAGGCTCGAGGTCTTCTCGGGTCGGGCGAAAGGGGGGATAGCAAAGGGGGGGTTGAGAATCAGCTCCCGTAGCTGATTTTCCCGGCGCCTCCCGGCGCCGGAGGCGGCTATGTATCGAGGAATGGGCCCCTCGGTGGGGCCGAAACCAGCTGCATGCAGCAGATTTCGTAACCCCCCCTTTCCCAAACCCCCCCTTTCGCCCGACCCGATCTTCGGCCGCTTTCCTGCGTTCTCGGCGGCTCTCCAGCTGCGGGGCGCCTTCTCCTGGCGGCTGCGCCTCGCCGAGAGCGTTGGGGGGGGCTCCCAGATCGTCCCGAAGGGCCGCCGGGTGCCCGAACCATGTCCTGAAAGCCACCAGCGGACCCGCTCGAGGGGCTCGATGGGGGGAACGTCGAGCTGGAACCGGTGATGCATCGCCGATAGGTCGGCGATGGGCCCCCGACAGCGAATCCGAACGCTCCTGGGCGGGCTGGGCTAGTGGGCTTGGCAATGAACGGGCGATTGAGGATCGATGCGTCCGTCCCTGAGCCTATCCCCCCTTGCGCTGCCCCTGATCCTTGAGGCGCAGGTCTGCCGGCGGGTCCTCCTCTAGAGGAGCAAGACATGCAAACATAAACAAACAGTTGGAGATCCGCGCGGATGTCTTGGATCGGCGCAGGACCCCTTAGCGGCGCTTCGCTCGCCAGGAGGCGCCGCCAGGGGGGCCCAGCGCAGATCCAAGGACTCCGAGCGTATCTCCGACAGTTTATGCTGATGGCGCTTTCTCTTGTTCGATCCTCCCAGTCCCAACGCATGGCCTTGACCTGGCCAGTCACGCCGTTGAGGTGGATGTTCCTCGCGGGCGTTCCCTGATTGTGCCACCGTTGTGTCACCCCTCGCGCCGTGTCCTGCCCCTGCTGCTGCTGCTGTTCCTCCTCCTCCTCCTCCTCCTCCTCCTCCTCCTCTCCCTCCTCCTCCTCCTCCTCCATCTCCTATTCCTTCTCCTCCACCTCCTCTCCTGGGAGGAGGGAAGGGGAGGTAGGCAGTGAAAGCGCGTATGAAACCCTTCCGCTTGGGGGCGTGTCAGAATGCCTGTCAACTGTTTGGCCGGGTGTCCGTAGATGTCCAAAGGCGATCCCCGTTTCACCCCATGGCCCCTTGACAGTCCGCCACCCAACATTTCCAACCCAGCGAATTCCTCAGCCTCGAGACCAACCAAAACTCATCAAAAAAGGAACAGACAACTGTCAAGGCAGCGCCAAGACTAATCCAAACCGTTCGAAAACTCACCCAACCCCCGTGAGAGAGTCCAAGGGGCCGCCAAGATAACCTACTGAGGCCGAACACACACACACACACACACACACACACACACACACACACACACACACACACACACACACACACACACACACACACACACACACACACACACACACACACACACACACACACACACACACACACACACACACACACACACACACACACACACACACACACACACACACACACACACACACACACACACACACACACACACACACACACACACACACACACACACACACACACACACACACACACACACACACACACATCACACACACACACACACACACACACACACACACACACACACACACAACACACACACACACACACACACACACACACACACACACACACACACACACACACACACACACACACAACACACACACACACACACACACACACACACACACACACACACACACACACACACACACACACACACACACACACACACACACACACACACACACACACACACACACACACACACACACACACACACACACACACACACACACACACACACACACACACACACACACACACACACACACACACACACACACACACACACACACACACACACACACACACACACACACACACACACACACACACACACACACACACACACACACACACACACACACACACACACACACACACACACACACACACACCCGTAGCCATTTTGGCTCATGCCAGCCCTGGTGCCAGGGTGGGCAGGCGCGCGCCGTGCCTCTCCCCCTCGTAGGAGAGAGCGGCTCTGTCCTGCTCCCCGTGTCGCGGCCCCTGCGATGGCGGCGACGCGCGACAACGGCAAGGGGAGGCTCGGGGGGCCGCCCGCCCAGGGGCGGCCCAGCAGCAGGCGGGCTCTGGAGCACGAGACCATCGGCCCGTCGGCGGCGCGGAGGGCCGCGAGGCGACGGCGCCAGCTGGCCTGTGAGGCCGGGTTGCGGCGGTGGATCGCCGAGGCCGGCGTGCCGGGGTCCTGGCAGGACCGCGAGCGTGCAGCCCGTCCTGCCTTGCGACTCGCATCGGCAGGCGCGCGGGTGCCAGGCAGCGCCAGGCGTCGCAGGAATGCGGCCTGGCATGCTGCGGTGGCGCCCAGGGCGGGCTTCGCGCAGGCCTGCGACGCCGCCATCTCTGCGGCGGCGAGCGGCCCTCGGCTGGGCGCGGGCCCCTGCGGCGCCCCCTGCGGCGCCAGCCAGGGCCAGGTCGTTCGGGAGCTGGGCAAGGAGCAGAGCGACCAGGTGCAGCAGCTGACGGCCCAGCGCGACACGCTCATCGAGCAGGTGCGCATGGCTGTGGCGGACCGCGAGGGGATGCCAGTCCGCGTCGCCCTGCAGAGGCGGGGCGCCGCGGCGGGCGTGGAAGCTCAGGCCACCCTCGTCGAGCAGACGGTGCACGAGGTGCGGCGCCTCACCGACGCGCGGCTCGAGCTCGAGAAGCAGCTGGAGGCGGACCAGGCGGACTACCTCAGCGCGCTCGCGCGGACTGAGGACGGCTATCTTCGCCAGCTGGCGGTGCAGCTGGACGAGCTGGAGTCGGTGAAGAGCCAGTGCGACAGGCTCAGGGAGCAGCTGCACGACGCCGTGGCGGAGTGCCAGGCGCAGAAGAACGTCGTGACGCTGCAGGCGCTGGACATGAGCAGTTCCATGCCCGTGCAAGCCACCATGATGGGCCTGGACGTGGCAAAGGATGAGGACCAGGGCGCCTCCCAAGGCACGGACAGCAGCATGGGGCAGCACGTCACGCAGCACGGGGCCTCCTTCGCGCGGGTCGGTCTTCGGCATGCGGACGTCTCCTTCGAGGTGGACTTCGACGGCCGTTTGATCATCGGCGCGCACATTACGGCGGAGGTGGGCTCCCAGGAGCGGATCTTCGACTTGCTGGAGGGCGGCTGCGTGGTGGTCCCCCGCCGGCGCGTGCGGGACAGAGCGTTGCCGGCTGCCTGGATCACCGGCGCCGCCGCGAAGGAGCAGAAGGCGCCACGGAGCGGCCAGCCCTTCGCGAGGCGCCTCGCTGCTCTCGCGGATGAGGTCGAGTGCATCAAGTTCGAAGTGTGGGACTGCCCGTGCCAGAAGTGCCAGGCCATGGCACAGAAACCCAGGCCCCGACGGAAGCCCCGAGCGCGGGGTTAGATCGTGCAGCAAGAGTGCCAGCTGCGTGGATGGCCTCATGATCGTGGCAGCGGGAGTGCCAGCTGCATGGATGGCCTCACGGAGTTGGGATGGCCGTTGCGCCTTTGCCTCACGCGGGGGGCGGGTTCCGCCTCTGAGGGGCCCCAGCGGTAGAGATGCTGCCCCCCTTGGCGCGGTGTCCGCCGTGGATGAGGGGCCTGAGGGGCGGTCCGTCCCTTGGGGTGCCTGGGCCCGCATTCGCCGTTGGCGGGGCCTGGGCGCGGCGCGTGTTCTCGCTTTTTCAGCCCCCCCCTTGGCACCAGGCTGAGGGGCCTAGGGTGGGGCGCGGCCTCGAGGGGGCCAGCGCGCTCTGCACCCTGGGGAGTCGGCGGGAGCGCTGCCCGCTGCTCGGCTCCCTCGGAGGCTCGGCAGGCGACGGACGGTCGCTCGAGGGCCCAGCGCACGGGCCTGGCGAGGTGTGGACGCCCCAGGCTGCCGATGCACCAAAGCACCAAAACACACACACACACACACACACACACACACACACACACACACACACACACACACACACACACACACACACACACACACACACACACACACACACACACACACACACACACACACACACACACACACACACACACACACACACACACACACACACACACACACACACACACACACACACACACACACACACACACACACACACACACACACACACACACACACACACACACACACACACACACACACACACACACACACACACACACACACACACACACACACACACACACACACACACACACACACACACACACACACACACACACACACACACACACACACACACACACACACACACACACACACACACACACACACACACACACACACACACACACACACACACACACACACACACACACACACACACACACACACACACACACACACACACACACACACACACACACACACACACACACACACACACACACACACACACACACACACACACACACACACACACACACACACACACACACACACACACACACACACACACACACACACACACACACACACACACACACACACACACACACACACACACACACACACACACACACACACACACACACACACACACACACACACAATGCAGATTGCATTGGTTGAAGGCTTGCTCACAGATGTCCCAACTGTTCTGCCGAACGTGCCTTCAAAAGACCTTCAGAACACGACGACGGCCCCGAGACTGCCCTAGAAGCCCCCAAGAAGCTGCACACATCCCCACATGGCTCCCAGCGGCGTCAAGAGGAGCCCTGCTCGGCCCGACGACCTTCCAAGGCAGCCGCAGACCGCCCCAAAGGCGGCTCCAAGCGGGCCTCCGTGCCCGTCGCGGCGGCCCCAGACTGATCCGGACGCCATTGCTCGGGAGCGCTCGGCCGAACTGTCGCAACCAAGGCGGCCCACGGGAGCCCAGGGGTCTGGGAGGGCCCGGAGCGAGCGGCAGTCCTGGCGAGCCTGCTCTGGAGCGCTCTGTTGAACCACCGCCCCCGAGACAAGCCAGAGCGTCCTCTGAAGCTGCGGGGGGGCCCGCAGGAGCAAGGCCGTGGTAGAGGCATGGCAGCTCCGTGTGTTCACTCGCCGGCCTTGCGGCGCGGAGCATGCAGCAAGGGCCGCGCGTCCTGAGCGCCGCCCAGCAGCGCCCAACCGTGGCTGCCGGTGCGGAAGGCCGCGCAGAGACTTCAACCTGCACGACTGATCTCTTCAGTTGGCACTCCGACGTGGTAGAACTGCGGCGGAGCGATCGTTGTGGAGCCATGGTGGAGACCCCGGGGTTCTCTCGATGCAGCGCTGGCGTGGTGTCGTTTTGGTCTGCCGCTCCTCGGCCTGCGGCGCGTGGCGATCCTCCGCACGAGGCGACGCTCCGCGCAGAAGCGCCAGCCGGGCTGCGGCTCGAGGCGACCAGCCGCAGTGCAGAGCGGCACCTGGCCGAGACGAGGGGGGGGGCGACGGAGGTCCTGCAGCGTCTTGCCCTGCTCGAGGACTTTCTTCGGGGCAGGACCTCCTCCTCCTCCTCCTCCTCCTCCTCCTCCTCCTCCTCCGCCTCCGCCTCCTCCTCCTCCTCCTCCTCCTCCTCCTCCTCCGCCTCCTCCTCCTCCTGTGCCTGACCTGCCGCCCGAGCCCTGCAGCACCAGCCTTCCATGTGAGGGTGTGGGCCCTTTGCTCCCCTGGCCCTGCTCAGGCGCCAGCCGCAGTGCCCTGGACGCCCGAACAGTGCACGGACAAAATAGGCACGCTGCCCAACAGTGAATGCTGTCCAAGTATGAAAACGGCCGCTGTTGGGCCCGCGGCCTTCTGCCCCTGAACAAGACCCGCGGCGGCTTGGACAGCGAGTCCTGTTCAAAATAAATCCTGGACCCCCTCCCTGGCGCGCGGAGCGCGCCAGGGGCGGCGCCGGAGGCGCCGCGGGGGGGCCCTGGCGCGGATGCAAGAAATCCGCGCGGAGCGCCAAAAGTTGATGTTCATGCCGCTCTTTCTTCTTCGAGTTCTAGTCTTCGTGCCCATTCCTCCCGTACCCATCTCGATCCCACCGAGCGTGCAAGAGGAGGGCAGCAAAGCCGGCGAAGAGAAGGCAGCGCCACGGGGGGGGGTCGGCGGCCCTCCAGCCGCGGCGCCCGAGTCCGGCCACGGCAGCGTTTGTTGGCCCTCGGGCGACACCCTCGGGACCTGGTGGGGGGGGCCTGTCCCGCAGGGGGGGAGGGAACAATGCCGATGTCCCTGCTCCCGGAGGGGGGTGCTGTCCCGGAGGGGGGGGCTGTCCCGGAGGGGGGACGGAACGATGCCGATGTCGCTGCTCCCTGGATCTCTCCAGGGGCGCGCTGTGACTAGCACCTCGAGGCGGATCTGGCCGCGGCGACGAGGGCAGCGGGCGGTGTCGGTACCTGTTCCTTTTCGGACGCTCGCGGGCGATCCCGGCGAGCTCCCCGGAAGGCCTTCGACGAGGCACCATGGCAGACACGCTGGGGCCCGAAAGCCGACGGGGAGCCACAAACCACTCGGAGGACCTCCCTCCGAGAGCCTCCAGCCACCAACGTCACGCCCGCCAAGTGCCGAGAGGTCCGATGCCCTTAATTTTTCGAGCCGGGTTCCCTGAAGTCTGGACCCCCAGTGCCAGCTCTTCGTCAGTTGTTTCCTGTGGGTCCTGCCTGGCGAGGGCCCCCCATGAGGCCGAAAGCGCAGAAACGCCGCCGCCTGGCGTTTTGAATACGTTGGAGGTCTGGGCTCTGGGGAAACTGAAAGGTATACTCCCGGGACCCTCCCGGGGTGCCTTCTGACCAGGATTTCTAGGCGAATCCAGCGGTGGCGACGAGGGCCTCCCATGAGGCCAAAACGGAGGAGAAACATTAGGCTGGCGAAGGACCCAACCATGTGCATGTGTGAGTCCCTATTGGGCCAGGAAGCGTGTGAGGGGCGTGCGGAAATGGGTGCGGCGGGCGCATGCGAACGCAGCCACTGGGGCCTTCGGCGGAGCTCCCCATGGAGCCACGAAGCGTGTGAGGGGTGTGCCGAAATTGATGCGGCAGGCGCATGCGAACGCAGCCACTGGGGCCGTCGGTGGAGCTCCCAGTGGGCCACGAAACGTGTGAGGAGTGTACCGAAATTGGTGCGGCGGGCGCATGCGAACGCTGGCATTTGGGCCTTCGGTGGAGCTCCCTATGGGGCCACGAAACGTTTGAGGGGTATGCCGAAACGAAGACATGCGGAGGCCAAAGACAAGGAGGGAGAGGAGGGAAGAGGAGGAGGAGGAGGAGGAGGAGGAGGAGTGGATTGACGCGGGGCGCAGTCTCTTCAAAACGAGGACCCAACACCACAGGATGGTTGGGAAAAAACATCCCAGGAGGCCAAACATGGGAAGAAGAAAACAGAAAAAGGTAGCTGTATGGGTAATTACCTTTTCCTCCTCCGAGGCTTGCCGCGAGCGGCCGCTGGAGCTCCGCGGACCCCCGACGCCATGATTTTTCCACAACGTCGACCACTAGAGATCTGGACCCCTTCTCTGGAACCGGTTTTTCAGTCTGAGTTGTTTTTTGACGGTCCCGAGGCCTGGGAAGGGTCCCCGAAAATAGCGAAAAACCTCCCGCCGTGATTTTTTCATTGCTCGAGGAGGTCTGGGGCCAGAGCTCCTCCTAAGGTTCTTCAGCACGGCGACGTCGTAGTCGGTCGCGACCACGCGCGCGCCCAGCTTCCCAAGGGCAACGGAGACGGCGCCCGTGCCGGCACCTACAGGCGGAGGCCAACAACACTTAGGTCGGGTATGTCCTCCTACAGGCGGATTTGGAAAGGAAAATGAACAATAGGCAAAACATGCCCCACAATAGTCAAACATAGTGTGACATGTTCCCCAGACTACTTGCTGACTATTTTGGAACCTTCCTCCTGTAGAGATGCCCGACTTAAAGCTACACGGCCATCGTGCCAACCCTAAGGAACGCCAGAGGATCGGCGGCGAGCGATGGGATGCACAAAGACGTACTAGTACTATATGTCATCCTTGGAGGCGCGCGTCCGACCCAAGCATATAGTATACCCATCTTGTAGTATATCGTTTCCCGAGCGGTGTGGCCAGAAAGCGCCCGCCACGATGCATATACTATAAGATTCCTCGGTGCGCGCGTCGCCCCTGGGAGGGCGACGCACATATAGTAGAAGTATGTTGGGGTGTCGCCGAAGCGAGGGGGGGAAGCGAGAAGGAGTAGGCCCTTCCTCAGAAGGCGGCGGGACTTCTCGGAAGCCCTCGCGCCCTCCGAGACGTGCTCTGTGTGGCCTCGGGCGCGGCTCCGAGACTCCTCCTCAGACGGCCGTGGGAGACTTCCGAGCCTTCCGAGAAGGCCCGCCCCGTCCCGCGCCCTCCTCCTCCTCCTCCTCCTCCTCCTCCTCCTCCTCCTCCTCCTCCTCCTCCTCCTCCTCCTCCTCCTCCTCCCTCCTCCTCCTCCTCCTCCTCCTCCTCCTCCTCCTCCTCCTCCTCCTCCTCCTCCTCCTCCTCCTCCTCCTCCTCCTCCTCCTCCTCCTCCTCCTCCTCCTCCCCCGGGCTCGCCGCCGAGATGAGGAACCACTGGGCTCTGCTGTCCACGGCGAGCCTCGGCCTCGGATGGGCTCGCCCGGCGCCTGGACCTGCAGGGGGGCGGCCCGCGAGCCAGGGCCTCGACCGGAACCCGACGCGGTCCTCACGTCTCGCGCATTAGGGGATCGACGATAGAACGGATTCACCCCCAAACTTATTTTGTCGCCGACTATATATACCAGCAATCTACACACGAAGCAACGTCTACAAACTTCTACGCGTGTTTCGTAGACCCGACGAGCAACACCATTCTGGGGCAACTCAATTCTGCAGTCGATCGCCGACTCCAACGTCAGCGTCTGGGCCGGGCACGCCGTGCGGCGAGCCTGGGCCGGGCCAGTCCGCCTGGGCCCGCCCGGGGCCAGCGCAGTCTGGGCCCCCGACGTCGTGCTCTGCCTCGCGGTGTCGGCCCCGGAGGCCTGCCGAACATCCGGGGCCACA